GCCGCGACCTTTCTTCTCTCCGTCTCCACATCCGCCTCTGGCATGCACCGAAATCAGTGTAACACTGGTCTAAACATAGTATCCACACACAGCATGACTCACACATGTGATGTGGCTGTGGTACATGGAGTGAACGTGCACTCCCACAACTGGACGCCGACATTTGGAAATCCAAAATGTGTTTCCACATACGGCCACAGAGGGCGCTAAACAAAGACGCGTGACGACAAATACTGCCGTGAAAATCTGCTGTTAAGTTTTTCAGCGGTGTCAGTAATGATACAGCGTCCCACAGGAAGCACACACACACACACACACACACACACACACACGAACACAAGCACTTACTGCTGCGGGAAAAGAGGAACTCAGTGAGCCAGGACTTTTCATCAGTTCCGCTGCTCTGCATCACATTGGACCACTTTCAGCCCATCATTAATACACTGGATTCTATAGTCATTACGAGGCGGGCTAGAACATGGCAGCACCACAGATTGAATATGAAAATGGAAGTGCAGTAAAATATGTTTGGAGTGAATGATGGTGTGAAACTGAAATAAGCTAAAGTGTGGGAGGAGGGGGCGAGAGAGAGAGAGAGAGAGAGGGAGAGAGAGAGAGAGAGATCCTTCAATACTCGTCTTACGTTTAAGACAAATTAAAAGAAAAAAATCTTCATGTCTGAAAAAAATGAGACTGTGTTCCTACAAATTTTAAATGTAAAGTACATGTGAGTATAAATACTTGTAGTAGTGTTTCAACTATGAGGTACTTCTTTGAAGCATTCTAAAATACTAATACTGCAGTGATTTTACCATCTTTTTGTAAAAAGTACTGCAGAGCTACTTCTTATTTTTCATATTTAAAACAAAAAAGCAAAACAGAGGTATTTACTATATATATATCTATATATATATATAGATATATACTATATGATAGTATAAAAAATAGTTAGAAAATCAACTACATTTCTTCTTCAACTTTACATCTGGACTAGTTCTCCTTGCATGTTTAATAAAAGATTGTGTGGGGGGGTGAGGAGGAGTGTTTGCCAACATGTTTGTTTTTACAAAGGCTTTACACATCCCATAAGTCTCGGCTCCACCACAACAAACACAGACAGGTGTGAGGACTGCAGGGAGCAAGGAGCACGGCCTCAATAAGCAAATATTACTCGCTTCCAATTTCTGTCTCCCTCTTGTGCGGCGTGTCATTCAGGGTCTGCCTCGCTCTCCCTGCATTTTCTCTTTCCCACTGTGCCAAACACAGAGGGCCTCTTTGTTATTCAGAGTAGGAAGTGCAACTGGAGCCAAATCTGCCCTGCGTTCTACTTGATATCATCCCGTCTTTGTTCTGCCTGTCTCCCATCTCCATATGTTTGGCCTCAGACTGCAGCAGCCCAACACACGGGACACGGCAGAGCCAGAGACCGCAGAGGTTCTCGCACTGCTCTAGGAGTTCTGACTTTAAATGTAGCCGGGGCTGAAGCCAAGGTCAACCTCCTGATAAAGGTCACATGCTGGATTTCCCATGCAGATGTTGGAAAGACCCAGTCTTCTCAGTGAAACACAGACATATATTTGCATCTCATCACAGTCTAGTAAAATACGTGACTTAGGATCAGGTTCCTGCTCCGAGACTTGGAACAACACAGATCTGTCTCCAGCAGGGGTCCTCGGGAAAAACGAGTTACGATGCACGGTAGAAACAGAACTCTGACGCCAAAGTTGGCAACCCCTGGTCTTCATATTTGTTTAGATATTTCTAAAATTCTGATAGTGTATTTTTTTTGTTTTTTAAAAACACTATTGCTGTAGGGACACACCGTGAGAATTGTCTTTTTCTGTATGTGAGTACATGAATGAGTATTTGAAAAATCACAGTTTTTGCGTCAACAGGCTGTTTAAGTACAGCAGTTTTGAAAAGACGGAGAAAAAACCTGCAGCAGGCAAAAACATTTAGCCACACAGCTAGCTTCATTGACCACCGACGTGCCGTCTTTCATGCCCTACATGTCGATGGTGTCGATGCCACGACACTGACTTTCTGAAAAGTCCTGGTCGACGTTCAAACCATGTGTCAACCAAACATTTTTGGAACCTC